AATTGCTACTTTGAAAATAAATTAAACTTTTAAATTACGTTTTGATTTTATGCAACCCCAAAACACACTAAAAATTAAATTTGATTAGTACGCTGGATTCCTCGTTTTATCAGCTTTGCAATGAAGGTTCACAAGCCACAGGGTTTCATTTGAAAAAACATGTTAAGAGTGGTTTCAGCTACCCCCGAAGGGCTATATTTTTAAAATTGCTTGCAAAATGTAGATAAATATATTAAAACGTTGACGTATCTCTTTAGAAAAATTATTCACCTTCCCGCTAGCCAGTTTATTCCAGTTAAGATCTCCACCCTGTATAGGCCTATACATACAATAATAAAATAAAAATGTTTATAGTGAGATATACAATATGTCACATAAACAAAAACAAAATAATTTTGTCAAGAACAGTTTTATTTTTATTTCTGTTTAAAAATATATAACCCCTTTCATAAAAAAATAGTAAAAAAAAATGATTTCAAAAGAAATCGTTAAAAAAACTAATTAAATCACAAAATTTAATGTAGTGTTGAATACATAGGTAAATCTTTTAATAATCAGAATACGTTTGAACCATATCTGAATAATGATTCCACCAGACCAATGCAAAGGTTTGCTGTTTGCGTTAAAAAATTCTAAGCTAAATATTTAATAAAATAGCATACAATTAAATCTAAATAGATAAAAACTTTAAAATATATAACAGAATAGTTTGCTTCCATCATTTATAACATTTATAATAAAACTCTGTTGAAAATACCTTTGAAACAAAAATAAAAATATTGTAGCGGTTTGTGGTAGAGAATTTCATGAAAGCCAATATAAAATCATTATTTCATTATAATTTCGTTAATACTATAATGTAATTTAATAATTAAATTTGCTTTCATCAAGCCTAGTTTTAATTTATTGATAAATTAATTAAATTTTAACGCATATAAAATTACGTACTTATTTTTATTAAAATTTAATAAAGTTAATGTTCTGAATATAATATAATAGTGATTGATATATAATTATTTGTTATCGTGAAAGTATGAAAGTAAATGGTAATAATTTATATAAAACATTAACAATTATAAAATGCATTACATTTTTTAACAAAAACTACTTTGGATAGTTTCTATTTTTTGCAAATTTTGTGAATTTAAAAATTGTACTGTTTTTACATTTTTATGCAGTTTTTGAAAGTCATGATAATTTCATATGTTTATAAAATTATCTTTTACTGTACAAATTCTTTTAAAGAGGTCCTTTCGCCACCAATGTTAAATAAAAAATATTATTAATAATTAAATTTACACTATTCATAAAAAAATTGTTTTCAATTTAATCATTTGTGTCGTAATTTTATTTAAATAATAAAATAAATTATAATAAATAATGTGTAAGTTTATCTCATTATGATAAATAAATAAATAATTAGATAGTACTCTAATAAGCTTATATTTTTTATTTATTGTGATATTTTCAATTATAAAATAAATTTTTTTTATAAAAATAAATAAATTACTAAATATAAATAAAAAACATAATTGCGTTAAAGTATACATTGAATGTATTGAATGGTCTGAAGTTCGCGCGCTGCGCAACGTTTCCAATTGTTTTGACTCCATTTTAAGCTAGGTTACTTGAAAATTTTTTGTGATTTTTTAATATTAATTTCTCAATAAATTCCACGGTAACCCATATATTTTATTGTAAAAAAACTAAACCTAAATATTTCAAAAACCTTATTTTTAGTTTTTTCTACTCCATCTAATCAATAAATAATAGTATAATTCAAGAATTGTTGTTGAGGTCTTACTTTCTCGTAAGACACTGTACAAATACTCACATTTAAAAAAAAAATTCTCAAAAATTTGCAGGGTAAGGTATAGTTAAAAGTTCACTATTAGATAAATAAAGACTTCAACTATTAGAAAAAAATTAATTTTAGTTATAATCTAATATTTTTTATTTAACATTGGTGGCGAAAGGACCTCCTTAATGTTTTTGCCATTTTATTATTTTATACATTATACATTATACATTTTATACATTAATGATTTTTTTTAATAAACTTTGTTGGTCCACCTTGACAGATTTAATATCGACAATTTTTATTTTTTTATTATTTGCCATTTTGTTTTTCTTATAAAATGTATATTTTCTAAATAGTAATTGCTTTTGTTTTTTATTTTATTTTTTTACTTTTTTTTTTTTTTTATTAATTTTTTGTCTAATTTTGATTTAGTCTTTTATCTTCTTGTACAGATCTAGTTCTTTTAATTTTATTTTTACTCATAAGAATGTCTATTTTAAATATTTGGTTAAACGTTATTTTTTAATAATATTGAAAAAAAGTTTTCACTAATTTCTAATATTATCATGCTAATGGAATATTGGTATTAACATATTTTTAAATTTAATTTAATTTTTTATTGCAATTTTAATGCAGCAGGTATTAATTTTATATAAAATTATATTTTTTATTATTTTTTTTATATTTCATCAATTGTGTGTCTTTTTTGTTCCTTTAAATAATTAATATCTCAAATTTTAAATAAAAATTAAAAATTGACCTGATCAAACAATGTTTTCTCCTCATTCAATCAAGATCAATGATATAATAAAAATACATTTAGGTAGAAATTTAAATACTTTTTCCGATTTTTTTTATAAAAAAAAATATATTAACATTATTTATGATTTTAAACAAATATCACTTTCAGCAATAACTTATATTTTGAATTATTAATTTTTAAAATTCACATAATTTAATTTTTATTTATAATTATTAGAAAGACTATTTATATTTAATGTTATTTAATCACTTGCATTTTTGATTATTTTCTTAGTTAACGTTGGTAACAGAATATTAATATTGACATATTTTCAAAATTTTAAGTAATTTTGTTAATAATAATTTATATGAATTATAATATTTAATTATTGGTTTTTTAATTATTTCATAATTATATTTACGCATCTTTATCTATTTACTTGCGAATCTTCATAATTATAACGAATTTTTAATTTAAATTTCAAGTATTAATTTAATGATTTACCGTGTAAAAAACTGTTTTTCCAGCCTCAGTCTCAGTCCAAACCTCGAACAGGTACATTTTCGTAAAAAACTAATAACAAACAAACCATTCATATTCCCAAAATTTTATTATAGAAAGGTTTGGTATGTTATGTTATGTTGGGAATGGGGTGTTAATACACGGCGACCTAAAAGATATATTGTATCCCCTTCTGTCGCTAATGCACCAATGAATTGTCTCAATGCCTATAACAACCCCTCCAATCCTATTTTCTCAAGAAAGTGTAGGATTTGGAGTGGCTTCAAGTTAGGTAAATCTCCATATTCTATTTGATATCCTCCTAGGTATAGTGCCCTTGGATTCTGGAGTGCTACACATTCAGTTAGAATGTGAATGGAGGTTTCGTCTTCCTCCTCACAGAATCTGCTCTCACTATCCTCTACTACTTTCAGTTAACTAAGATGTCCTTTTGGTCGGCAATGCCCGGTAAGGATCCCTGTTACAATACGTAGCCTGTTCTTGCTCAGGCAGAAGCAGGCTTCCGATCTATTCTGGTTATATTCACCCCAGAAGTATCTTAGCCTGTCTCAGCCCCTAAAGATTGTTCCAATTATCGGTTCTTCTACTGCCCAATTCTTTTTTAATCTCTTCTAATATTATGTTACTGCTGATACCGCCAGAACGGCTCAGGTCCTACAAAGGGTGTTTGAGCCTCTTTACTTGCAAGACTATCTGCAATCTCGTTACCTTGTACCCCGTTATGTCCCTGGACCCAAGTAGGAGTAACTCTATTTTTCTTGCCTAGCTCATTCAATTGTTCTAGGGGAATCTCCAGACTATTTTTGAGCTGATTATGTAAGAGCTCAGCGCATTGATGGCTGCTTGGCTATCCGACATGATGATAATATCTTGTCTATGATAGTTTATTTTAATGTTAAACTGGATACACTTCTCGATGGCGTGAATTTCCGCCTGGAAGATGCTTTGATATTTTCTCAAGCTTTCGGAGTGCTTGGTTTTCGGTCCATACACTCCTATTCCAGTTCCTTCTATGGTTTTGGAACCATCCGTATACCACTGAATAGCACGTCTTTCGATTGCAAGCGCGATGGATTCTTGGCTCCATCATTCTTTCTTGCAGCCCAGCTCTGTGGTTTTGAAGTTTTTCACAAAACTGTACTTCTTTAGCATTTCATCCTGGGGCATGTCCCAGGTATCTTTAGTCCTGAAGCAAGTAGACTTTCGTCTGATTACACCGTTCCTGATCATTCTATATTGTGTCCTTTTTGCCACATTCTCTATCTTCAAATATAGAGGGGTGAGGTTTAAAATCACCTCCATTGCAGCCGTTGGGCAGGTTCTCATTGCACTGGTGATGCAAACACAGGCTAGTCTTTATACTTTTAAGATATTAGCTCTCGTAGTAGCTAAACTAGTTCTGATGTTCCAGGCTATAGCTCTGTGAGTGATGATTGCAGTATACATCCATCGCAGTATGTTTAGGTTACATCCCCATCGTTTACTTGCAATGTTTCTGCAAACCATTAGGGCTTTTGTGGCCTTATTTACTACTTTCTTTTCATGTGTGTTCCAGAGAAGTTTGTTGTCCAGGGTTAGGCCTAGATATTTAACTTCATCTTTCCATTCTATATCTATCCCGTCTAATTTAACGGTTTTGAGATTAAGTTTTCTTTTCCTTGAAAAGACTACTAGTGTTGTTTTTGTAGGGTTTATACTAAGTCCCACTTCACAGCACCATCTTTTGTTATGTTCTAGTCTTCGTTGGACTATATAACACAGGATATTTCAAAACTTGCCTTGATAACAGTAATATGAATAATATCATGAGTAGATAGCATACGATTTCAAAAATTATTATTTTCTAACCAACCTATTATATTATTAAAGCACCTCCAATCAGTAATGTACATTAAAATAACATAATTATTAAAATCTTGCTTTTTCTATTTACAGGTACATTCGGATAAATCTACAATCGAAGAATCGCTTTTTAAAAAACTCAACACGAAATGTTCCAACCAAGACATCAGTTCGTGCATGATGCTTAAGTTGGTGACGTACTTCAATAGACTGATGAAAAAATCACACATCGAATTCGGAGATGTGGAAATTACGCAGACCTCAACCAAAACCGTCAACTTGGAATCCTCCAGAAGCATCAACGATGTTGAAACAATGACTGAGGAGGAACAATTGTATGATGTTTTGGCTAAGAAGGCATACGATTTTGTGCAGACCAGATCGTTGAAGTGGAAGGTAAGAATTAAGTCTACTAGTTCATTATTAAAAAATATTTTTTTGAGTGAAAAAAGTAGTAACAAACAAACTCATTCTCTCAAACTTTAGTAACTTCTTAGTTGTTTATTTTTTTGTCATTGTCATACTCATACTTAATGTAAGTCTTTAAGTTGTTTACTAACATATGGTTGTCAAAACCTGTTATCCAGCTATTTCACAGTAGGGGCAGGTTGCCTAAAATGGGAGACCTACGTTTTCATATTAGTGGTTCATATTTTGACATAATTAAAAACGACGTGTTTGGAATGTTGTAATTAAAGCTGATAATTGAAAATTTAAAAATAATGGTAATATTTTGCACACAAAAAATAGTGTGGTTGAAGTAAAACGGGATAAAAAAATTAATGTTAAAAATGGTGAAAAATGTTTTAATACAAAAAGTAGGTAAATTAAAAGTAATTTGTGCAATGTAATAAAAACAAATTTTAAAATATCAGTTGCGACATAAATCGCCAACAAAGAAATCTTCATTAACTTCAACTCCTGCACAGGTATCATGTGCCCAATTTTTACAACTAAAACATTGTATCCATCCTTCGCCACGTCCATTTTTTGAATACCTGTTGTTACAGTAAAAGCATTCCGCATCATCATCGCTTTCTGATGATACAATGCTCTTTTTTTGTAATTTTTTCGTTTTGATTAAAGGCTTATTAGATTTTTCTTCATTCAACAAGTTGATGTTTGTTTTTAAAGCTATCTTCTTAACATTAACTTTTTTATTTCTTTCCTTTAAAGAGTTTTCTAATTCTTCCTTATAAGGGGTGATCGTAAAATTGGCAGCTTTTCCTTTTTTTCTATTTGCAGTTTCTCGAATATCAAGCTTACGAACTTTGGGATAAGGACCAATTTGTTCAGGACTTATCAAAGTTATACCTTTGCTCGTGGATGGCATATCATGTAAAGCGATTCTTTTGGCAACCTCGGAACATTTCTTTGGAAGAGCCTTTAGTTGTTTAGAGATTCTCTATTAGGGCCATTTTCGAGTGTAGCTTCTCTATTAGTTTCAATTTCGCGTGTACCTTCCGAATTGGCGTTATGTTCGGATGGATCATCTTCGGAATCGGAAGAAGATGGTACGACATCATTCTGTTCTTGTGGTTTGTCTGTTGAAAGTGTTGAAATAAACTTATCCTCGGTAAATATAGTGCGGTTTACTGGGTACAGTCCAGTTTTTTCAAATCCATTAATCGCATGTATCGGAGTAGAAGGACAAAGATACGCTCTGCCAAATAAAGAAGGAACTTCACTTACAGTGATATATCGCCCTGGGTGATTTCTAAGCCAAATCTCCATTTCTTGTGAATAAAAGGTGCTTAGAGGGGCCATAAATGACACGTCCAAAGGCTGGAGTCGATGACTACAGTGTGGTGGGAGACATAAAATTGTGACACCATTTTCTCTTACTTTATCTATGAAAGAAATATTTTGCGTATGTGTTTTATGACCTTTGAGAATAAGTAATGCTCGATTACTTCTTGATGCTTGTATGTGAGAGAGAAAATGATTAAACAATTTATCAAATAGATCCAATTGCATCCAAGCAGATTTATGAGCAACTGCTAATGTTCCTGGGGAACACCCTTAAGAAACTGTGGCTTCATACACACTCTAGGAGTGATTAACATAGGCAAGACAAATATTCCACTTGCACTCATGTAAAGTACGGCTGTAGACAGCTCCCCACGTTCGGCAGACGTCAGGGTACCCACTTTTTTCTGAATTTAAAGTGCAATAACTTTTGAAGGACAACTCTGAATCGTCGTTATGCCTGTTTCATCCACATTGAAGACCCTGGCCGAAGGAAGAGGCTCAAGAAAATTGAAAAATGATGACACTGCTTTTTTGTAAAAACCCCTAGCTCATGCAGCAGAGGTAGATCTAGATAATCGAATTGACAGATTGTGTCGTTTTAAAAAAGAACGAAGCCAATGCCATCCAGTCATTTGTTTTGTGTTATTAAAGTAGTGAACTATATTATTTTTTATAGCAAGCTGATAAGCAAGGCTTCTTAGACCTCTTGTTGTTAATCCAAACAGCATACCTTATATGTTCTTAACATACTCGACTAACTGTTCTTCCAATTCAATCGGAAATGTAACCTTTCTACTCCCAAGCGATTTAGAAGAACCAGTGGCATGTTTGTTCTTCTCCTTAAATCTCCTCTCTAAAGTAAATTTTGGCACGCTATACTTTTTTGCAGCTTTTAAATACCCACAAGTGCCATTTCCTAAGGCCTCTGAAGCCATTGACTCCTCGGATTGCCGATCATTCTTTCTTTTGTAAACGTGTGGCATCTAAATAAAAAATATAATAAAATAAACTACGCTCTATTGATTTAGGTAAAACGGAATACCCCATTTTACCCACAATACTAATTTCCTATTTTACCTACACCTGATTTAAAGTATTTAAACTAACCTTAAATTTTTTGTTGTCACTTTTTAAGCAAATGCTAGAAGAACAATGAAAACCAAGACCATACTGTACACAAAGATCACTGGAAACGATTGATATATTACTCCTGCTAGCTTTCAGGTCTTAAGATATAACATTAAAAATTTACAATTCCGGCAAAAAAAAAATTAAAACCATTCACGTCATTAGCCGATGTTGTTCTAATGAATTTCTCTCATTGTCGTTAGCATTTACCCTAGCGACGCGCACAATTCTGACGTCATGGCACGATGTTGCCATATTTAGTTAATCTGTGAGTGGCACTATCCCATTTTACCCACGTATCCCATTTTAAGCAATTTTCCCCTAACTTATAAACATCTAGAAAATACACTACACCACAAAGTGTTCCCACTATCAAAATCAGTCAGATTACCAAATTATCCCCGTTCCCTTCACTTATCTCACGATTGTATGTAAAGGAGTTTATGCTGGTACATTTTTAGTAATTTTTTTGATGCTATACGTATACCCTTGAACTGTCGCAACCCTTCAGTTTATCATTGATCCAAATTGATGTATTTTATCTTTAATTAATTTTTATTGTAAATATATAACACTAGTTACTGTATTTCTTTCTTATGTAAGATTACTTTTGTATAACATGCCTCAATATGGCCTTATAAACACTATTAATTTCCAGTTATACTTTTTCGTCAATAAAAAATATATCCACATTTGAGAAGATTGATAATATTTCACTGTATAGCAACACAGATAATGAACTTTCTATTGAATCGTAAATGCTCTCAAGATTTACAATTTTCTTTTTTATTAACCTTTCTCATGAATGATTACCATTATTACCCACTTTCTACTGAAGTCAAAGGTCAAAGATTCTTGAATCCGCATGCATGTACTAAGCAACATTCCCAGCAAAATTTTAACACAAGAGTGTAAATAGGTATAGCGATTATATTAATTTATTTTGTACACACGCTTTTATTTCCTTTCAGTGAAATTGAACTTGTAAGTGCAAAAGCGAAAACACGTAAACTTACTTTATTTTATGTAACAACTGTACATTTTTGAAGAAATTGAAGCCTCTCCTTTTATGGTATCACTTATTAGGACTCAATTCTTGTTTGTCTCTTGAATTAAATATTTACAATACTTTTCATATTCCTTAAATCATCGATTTTCAGATTACTTCTTCCTCTTTCTTTACGCTATATTGGCTTCTCTTATCTTCGTTGTTACTTTGTATCATAACCATCCCTATCTCTGCACTTTTAACTTCTATTTCCATATTTATTATACTGCTAATATTATTTGCTTACTCGTTAGCAGTTAATATGACACCACCACGAACTAGCGCAAGACGAAATAGCGGGGCTAGAAATAGCGCCAGGATAAAATAGAGAAAGAAAAAATAGCGAAGGAAAAAATTGCGGATTCGCAAATAGCGCTCAGATAAAATAGCGCGGGAAAAAGTAACGTTAGGACGTAATAGCGTGAAGATAAAATAGCGAAGGTATAAAAAAGCGCTGTGCCAAAATATCTCAGGAAAAAATAGCTCTCCAGACTGTACCGGTTAGGTAAATTATTTGAGTTTTTTTAATTTAATAATAATAATGAAATGCTTTTTACTTTATTTAGAGCCAATGTCTCCAATTATATTTTTTCCATGCATACATATTGTTAGCCTTATTCTCATAGACCAGGCTGGTTAACATGGACTTTAAATATTTACATTTTTCATGATTAACTTAAGTTATAAATATATAAATACTTGGGAGTCATCCTTGACAACAGGTTAACATGGAATCAACACTTGCAAAAAGTCACCCAAAAGAGCACAACTTCCTCCAACTTATGTCGAAGTTTGTGTGGATAAATTGGGGACTACAACCGAAAATGTCCCTATGGTTATATACCAGAGTCATAGGGCTGATGATAACCTACTGGTCAGTGGTATGGTGGCCAAAGACTCGGCAAGCTGGAATCTCAATGGTATTCAAAGGCAAGCATGTCTAAATACCACGAAAGCAATAAGAACGACTTCAACAGTAGCTATATAAATCATGGTAAACCTAAAACCGCTAAATATATTCATTCAATGCGAAACCAGGTCTGTCACATACAGACTGCACAAAGATTCATCACCCAAAAGCAGTTTGCACACCAAACAGTTAAAGAACGACCAAATAATGGGAATGTTTTCAGACGAAAAGCTCCCAAAGTAAAGCTTTCAAAAACAATATAAAGTAAGTATCCAGATAGGGAACCGCAGACAGGAGGATCTCCTATTTATGCAGAATTCACCTGGTATACAGACGGCTCCAAAACCCATGAAGGTTCGGGAGTAGGTATATAAAGTATCAAGCCAAAGACAAGAATCTCACTGAGCTTAGGTTAACATGCGACAGTATTCCAGGCAAAAGAGGTATTAAGACAGAAGGTAAATGGAAAAACCATTGTCATAGACAGTCAAGCGATGTTAAAATCACTCAGTTCTATGAAGGTACAGTCAAAGCTTGTGTGGAACTGTTTGAAAGCCC